GCCGCCGTTCTGCCACAACTGTCAGACTTCCGGGCACTCCAAGGTCAACTGCAACCGCCCTCGCGTTTACCGTGCAGCAGACCCACAAGTCGCTTCCACTCAAGCAAGTCCTCCAAGGCGCTCTTCAACATCTGCACAACAAACACCCAACATCATCAACTGCATGGTACACATCGACAACTGCGCACCCGCTTCACCACCCACTTACGCACCAGACGAAGAGGAATTCCCGCCGCCGCGCTCGCAAGGACTTCAGGTCAACCCGACATACGCTGCAGTCGCTAACGCCGAACCCACCGGGCGGAACACCTGGTTCTTGGACAGTTGCTGCGGTCAGCACATGTGCTCCTCCGGACGCTTCGTACAACACGAGCGACGCCTCAACCGTGACGTCGTCATCACCGTCGCCAACAACGAAAACCTGAAAACAAATAGACAAGGCGTGGTTCAGTTACAATCAATGGAGACAAACGTTATTCTTCAGCTCAACAAGGTCCTCATCGTCGACAATCTGGGATACAACCTATTAAGCGTAAGCCAACTAATGGCTAAGGGGATTCACCTGGAGTGCGACTCCTTCTCCAACGAGTTCCGACTTTACCACGGGAAGGGCGGTCTCTTCATCGGTCGTGCCCTCCTGAAGTCCGGTGTCTTCGTGTTGGACTTCGTCCCCGACCGCGGAACTGCCGACAGCGACGGTATCGTATCCTTCGCCGCCTGGACTCATCCGCCAGATCTTGATCCCGACTTCGACAGCGACGGCTTCTGGCACTCCAACACCATACCTGCAGCAGAAAGAACACGAGCATTAGCAGTTATCAGACAAGAAAGACAAGTACCCGCATGTGTCCCAACAAAACCATCACCTGCAGTATCGGCAGCAGGACCCAGCCGAGTACCACCACCAGCGACACGAGGACAGCCAACCGAAGCAGACCAACTTATGCCCGCCACACGAGAAGCTTGTCGAAGTCCCGCCTCGGTCGTCGCGTTCTTCTCCAACGCCGACATCTACCACCGCTCGCCCGGTCACCGCGCTCCCGACGACATCTGGCACCAACGTCTCGGACATCCTGCAAACAGCACGATACTTCAAACAATCCAAGCAGAAGTGTTAGAACGCAACGCCCTTCTGACGACGAGCGGCCAGGAACTCCGACGACCACGCGCACGGTGTTTCACATGCCCCGAAGCAGATCTTCCTCATCAACCTTTCCCAGCCCATCACAATCCAAGCGCACCCACTTACGCTCCGATGGAAAAGGTCTACAGCGATATTCTAAACATGCCTCGAGACGACACCGAAGCCGACTTCAACTACGTCATCACGTTCATCGACGCCGCAACCAGATACGTCTGGCACTTCAATCTCAAAACGCGCGATCAAGCCTTCGAGGCATTCACCACATGGCTTCCAATCGCCGAACGAGAGTCAGGAACCAAACTCAAGAGTTTCCAGTCAGACGGTGCACTGGAATACCAGTCACAACGCTTCAGGACCTATCTCGCGGAAAGGGGAATCCGACGCCTGGTGTCTCTGCCCTATGCTCACCAGCAGCAGGGGGTAGCAGAACGCATGAACCGGACCTTGCAGACGACGATGCGAAAACTGCTTCTGGGGATGAGGCTGCCCAACGCACTGTGGCCAGACGCGATGACACATGCAGTCCACCTGCACAACCTGTTGTCCTCGTCATCGCTCCCCAACAACGCATCACCACACCTGCTGTGGACGGGAAAAAGGGGCAGCACAAAATTACTTCGAGTTTTCGGCTGCATGGTACAATACAGACCCCACACAGCTCGAGCAGGACGCTTCACTCAACGAGCTCGGTGGGGACTACACCTCGGCATCGCCAAACATTTTCACGCGTGGAAGATCCTCGACATACAAGACAAAAATACGGTGGCATCACGTGATGTTATCTTCTACGAGCGACTGACGCTGCAGCATTACCTGGACAACATTGCCAACTCAGACGACCCCACCGACGGCTTCGCGGGCCTTCGCTCCTTCGCTGACCATGCTGCCGAGGCTGACGCAGCAGAAGAAGACGTACCTGGAGCCTCGGAAGCTGCCGGGCCACTCCCATTCTGTTCCATACCTGTTCCACTCGATGAAGATAATCCCCTCGATAGCAACAACCTCGACACCTTTTACCACTTCGCCGACCAAGGTTACGCTACACCGCACCCCGTCGACACGAATATTTCGGAACGCATCGGCCCCAATTTCTTACCTGACCCCGAAGACGGTGACGAAGCAGCTTATTCGGGGAATGACAATTCCCCTCGACACACACCCACGGGACTCCAGATTCTAGGCCTCTGGGTCTCCGTCCAGCATCCGCCGCCGCCTTCTACGCGTGAGCCTTCAACCTTGTCGCAGGCTCTGGGGGGGGAACATAAGGCAAAATGGAAAGAAGCGATGGAAAAGGAGTTAAAAGCTCTGCAAGACCGAGAAACATGGAAACTGGTACCTGCAACGAGCATCAACGGGAAGAACGTTCTCTCGGGGAAATGGGTGTACCGCATCAAGACCAACTCAGACGGCTCCATCGAACGATTCAAAGCTCGATGGGTCGTACGAGGCTTCGATCAACGATACGGAACCGACTACACAGAAACCTTCGCCCCAGTCTCCCGTCACACCTCATTACGCATCCTACTCGCCGTCGCGGCCACAAAAACACTACCACTACGCCAAATCGATGTCGCGAATGCGTTCCTATACGCACCTGTGGACGCTGAGATCTTCGTCGAACAACCCCACGGATTCATCGACGACCCCACGAAAATATGCCGACTGACAAAATCCCTATACGGGATCAAGCAAGCCCCGCGGCTCTGGCAGCAGCATCTTCACAGCCGTCTCGTAAAAATCGGCTTCCTACAGCTGCCGCATGACCAAGGGATGTACCGACTGCAGAAGGGAAGAGAGTATGTTCTGCTCATCGTCTACGTCGACGACCTGCTCTACATCGGCTCAACTACCGACATCGCCACCTGGTTCGAAGGGGAGCTGAAAGAAGATTTAACTCTCACGGTGTCCGACGAAGTTACGCAGTACCTAGGACTGAACGTCGTCGAAGACGACACGGCGTTCTACCTACACGCTGGAAAGTACTCAAGCACCGTCGCGAAGAAATTCGCTCTAACACCGACTGCGGTCCCAACTCCCTACCGCTACGGGAACAACGGCAGCGCCTCTACAAAACTCCCCGCGAAACAAATCCAGGAGTATCAACAGAAGCTCGGCTGCCTACTATTCGCAGCAGTAACCTGCCGACCCGACCTATCCTATAGTGCAAGTCAGCTGGCGACACATCTGAAGCATCCGCAACAGGAAGATCTCGAAGAACTCAATCGAGCGCTACTCTACTTCGTCTCCACGCCGACGATCGGGCTTACCTACAGCAAGGCAACAACACCGTCCGTACGACTACTCGGATACGTCGACGCCGACCACGCGGGAGACAGCGAAAATCGACGGTCTAGGACGGGCTACATCTACCGACTAGAACCTATCGGAACTATCTCCTGGCAGTCGAGCAAGCAGGAGTTAATCGCACTATCCTCGGCTGAAGCAGAGTATATCGCCCTTTGTACTGCGACCAAGGAAGGACTCTACCTACGAGAGTTACTCGAAGAAGCGAAGATCGCGACCCTGCCCGCCTTCTCACTCCTCTGCGACAACCAATCTGCGATCAAAATCGCGAACAAGGACGGCTTCGCCAATCGAACCAAGCACATCGCCCTGCGGTACTTCTTCGTCAAGGATGAAATCGCGAAGGGGAGACTTCAACTCAGTTACTGCCCGACGACAGAAATGGCCGCAGAATATCTGACGAAGAAATTGGCGAAAGCAAAATTCGACTACTGCATGCTCCTAACCGGGCAAACAAACGCCACCAGATCTGAACACTCCAGCACTCCAGAAACGAAGGGGAGTGTTGGAAATATCTCAAGGACTTGAGCGTTTCTGAAGTGTAACACTGTACTCGAGGAAGACTACAGGGGAGCACGCGAGTCAACGGAGGTTACACGAGGGGGCGGACAAAGAATGCGAAAGGACTCGAAAGGTCGCAACTGGAGGTTGCGACTGACCGTTACAACATCACGGATGGTAACCGAAACGGCAATCGAGTCGCTGTGCGACTCGATAAACCGTTCCTGTAACTGTATTCTACAACTGCTTTCTTATCTACTATATATTGCTGTATGCTTGTTTCTTTAATCAATCACTTGTTCTCACATACTAGTACAAGGGTTCAACCGTCTCAACTTCCGCTGCACTACTCCAAGTCTCAAGTCTTTACAGCTGGGACTCAGTCTCTGCAAAAGATCCTAAGGGCTTTTCTCAGCCCAACAGAACTGCTCCCGAAGCTCGTTGAACTGCTCCCGAAGCTCGTTGAACTGAGCTTGGTCCATTTGGCGAATGCTCCGCCGGGGCAGGGAGAAATCCGTAATGTGCCTGTACTCAGGTAAGCGCAAACGCTATCTTAGTTGGGCGAATTAATCAGTCTAATTCGCGAGCAACCGCTTTGCAGCTTACGTGAGGGACTTACCCCCCCCCCCCAAAAAAATCAACTCTCGAAAACGGGTGAGGTAGGAAAGTGGCTCTGATTACCAGGTGTTATGGATGAACAAGCAGAGTAGCGCGGAAATGAATAACGAAGTGTTCACTCTCTCAATGACGATACAAGTAATGGCAAGCCAGGATATTGGAACACCAGAGCTAGTTTAACCCTGCGATGGTGAGGTTCGGGAAAGAGATCGAAGGGTCTCGAAGTGACGCAGCGAGGCCCGGAGAACTCCCGAAGGTCGAACTGGAAGGTCTGGAGAAGCCGAGGCGGTTCTGTCAGAAGGTCTGGAACAGTCCCGAGGCTTCGGTTGTGTTCGAGCGTACGCGATAGCAGTACTGCTCGGTAAGGAATGGAAAATTCCTTACATTTACTGTGAATGGGTACTCCTCAGGCTTCACGCCAATGCTGCTGGCCGCCACGCCTTTCTTGCTGACTGCGGACTCGGGCAACTAGCAGGCAAGGAATAGCGAGAGCAGGGAGACTTGAAGTGAATGGCGAGAGGGCATAGACGAACACTAGAAGCCATATATAGATACGTGTCGCTTAGGTTTCTGAACGTGTTTTGACTACTTTTATCGCTCAGACTCCAGTCGTGCTGCCTGTCGTCAGACACTGTTCGATCACGAATCACAAGCCAGCGACAACGAATCGCATCATCCTGTCGCCATGCAGTCGCACGATTCGCCGTCGCCGTCACCGTCGCATCATCACGGGCATGCGAATCGGCGCGACCTTTTCAAGCAGTCCGGTACGACGCTGCACGCCTCATGCCGCTGTGCGTGACTGGTGCACGATGCGGGGACTTCGTCAGGAAGATACCTGAGGCTTTTATTTTCTTCCTAACCTGGGTCCTGGGCCTTTAATTTCATGCTTTAATCTGTCGGGCCTGGGTCCCAGCGCTCATGTGGGGTTAGTGTATCTTCTCCCCCCTCCCCTTTTCTTCCTGTGAACCGTCACCGTCACCGTCACCGTCACCGTCACCGTCACCGTCACCGTCACCATCAACAGCCACGGCGGCAGCAGCAGCGCGGAGACGCGGGGTAGTGGCAGCAATTTCAAAGGACAGGCGAGGGGCGCTGGTGCGCGCTAAGAGGATGCGCCGGGGGGAGGGGATCGATGTGGGCGAAGGGGTGGGGGGAATGGGGGGGATGGGGGGGATGGGGGGGATGGGGGGGATGGGGGGTGGTATGGAGGTGGAAGGGAGGAGGGATGAGGAGGAGGAGGAGGAGGAGGAGGAGGAGAGGAGGAGGGTGGAGGAGGAGGGGCGAGTGGAGGAGGCGGTCAAGAGATTGAAGGGCACGTTTGAAGGGTGAGGGACGCTCTAAGGGTGAGCGCAGGTCAAGAGGAGGGATGCTTGAGGGTTTGAAGGGCGAGGGATGGTTGAGGGGTGAGGGATGGTTGAGGGGTGAGCGGTACTTGAAAGGTGAGTGGGACCCGGGTGAGTGAGTGAGCTTGTCGCCTGACCTTCGCTGGGGAGGTGAGCTGTTCAGGCAGGGGGGAGCTTTGGTTTGGCGCAAGAGGGCGGAGAGAGGGAGGGGAGAGGCGAACGGCAGTGCTTCAAGTGACGTTTAGGCAACCCTTGAAAGCTGACCTGGCTGTCCCTTCGCGTTGCCATACGTGCGCTGCCACCGCAAGTGAGTGTCCCTCCCCGCTTCCCACCCCCCGCTCCCCCCTCCCCTCCCGCCCTCCCCCGTTTCCCACGCACCACCTCCGTGCGTCGCAGCACTGCTAGCACCTACAACCAGAGCGCCAGCCGTGCTGCGAGAAAGGGTGCTGCACCTGCTCTTAATGCGTGCTCTTCCCTTCGCCCCACCGCCTCCCATTCACCCCATTCCCACTGCTGCCAGATCCGGACGGCCTGCCATGCGTGCTGCAAGAAAGGATGCTTCACGCCCCAGTCCTCGCCATGCGCCTTTTGGTTATCGCTGCTCTGTGCTGCGCCTCCTATCCACCCTCCTCATTCCCAGTGCTGTCGGATCCGAAGAGGGCCAGCTGTGCTGCAAGCGAGGCTGGTGGCTCTCAAGCGATGCTGCTCCAGCAGCGCCACTCCCGTTCTCACGAGCATGCATGTCCCTCCACCGCCTCTCCCTCCCCCAATGGCCCCATGCCGCCACCCCGCTCTCATTGCATCGAGAACCAGAGGGCAAGCTGTGCTGCAGGAGAGCCAGCTTTTGGGTCGACTCAAAAGAGGGTGGCGGCCTTGAAGGCCGCTTGCCAGCTCTCCCCCCACGCATCGCCCCTACGAGTCCGACCTCTCTCGCCCATTCACGCCATACGTCCATCCATCCCATTCCCAGCACTGCCAGAACCGGAGGGCCAGCTGTGCTGCACAAAAGGGTGGCAAAATTTTGCTGGCTCTCCCCCCCATTCATCTCCCCTCTGCCCTTTGTCTCCTATTCATCCCATAGCCCTTCCTTCCTCATCCCATGCCCCTTCCTTCCTCATTCCATTCCCAGTGCTGCTAGAACTGGCGGGCTGGCTGTGCTGCAGGAGAGGGTGGCGGCCTTGACGATGCTGCGGCAGCTGCTCTCATCGAATCACAGCCCACCACTTGGCGCTGCCGTGCGCAGTGGTGCCGTGCCTCTGCTGGCGCAGTGCCTGGCTTTTGGAGCACCAGAGGAACAGGTGAGGAGGGGTGGAGAGGGGTGGGGAGGGAACGGTGATGTAGGCATTGGGGCTGGGCGGCGACAGGGGGCATGAATACAGGGTGTCGCGCGCACGATGAGGTGAGTGGGTTATGCGGGATGAGGGGAATGAAGACGGTGGACTTTGAGGATGTCATTGCTGTGTGCGGGGAGGCAGACCTGGTTGGGAAGGGATGTTGAGGAGTGAGGAGGAGTGCAGAGGAGTGCAGAGGAGTGCAGGAGGGAGAGGAGGGAATGATTGAGCGGAGCAAGAGAAGCTGGGGGGAGGGGGGAGGGGGGGGGGTTTCACAGACGTTGTCCGTTTTCTGCCTCCCTCCTCCCCTCCTTCCGGCACATCCCCCTTGTGCCCCACTCGCTGTGTTCGCTCCCCACCACCCTCCTTCCCCCGCCGTTCCCGTTTGCCAGCTGCTGCTGTGCGACCAACATAGCATCGGGCTCACCCTTGCCCCCGCGCCCCCCCCCCCTCCCCCCCCGCTCCCCTGTCGCCTTCCCCCTTGCTCCCCCCTCCGCCCATCAGCTGCTGGAGGCGGCGTGGTGTGTGACCAACATAGCATCGGGGGAAGCGGAGGAAACACGAGCCGTGCTGCCCTGTGCTGCTCTGCTCATCGCCCATTGCACCGGTACTGCTTGGCGCATGGCTGCTTCATTCACAGCTCTGCTTCCTTGCTCTGCTGCCTCTTTCTATGTGCCGACGTGCCATGCTGCCCTGTGCTGCTCTGCTCGCCGCCCACTGCACTGGTACACTTTCTCCTATGCCCTGAGCTGCCATGTGCTGCCATGTGCTGCCACGTGCTGCCCTGTGCGGCCCTGTGCTGCCATGTGCTGCCATGTGCTGCCACGTGCGGCCACGTGCTGCCATGTGCTGCCATGTGCTACCAGCCAGCTTGTTCATTTTCTCGCGCACCCCATCTTGCCCTTTGCCTGTTACTCTCTCATCCGTTTTTTTCCCTCACCGACTCTCTCTCGATGCGCCATTCTCTCATCCGTTTTCTTCCCTCACCGACTCGCCCTCGATGCGCCATTCTCTCGCGCAGGTGGCAACATGGCAGCGGAGCTGGCCGACCTTTCTTCCCCTCTTTCCTTCTCTTCCCCTCTTTCCTTCTCTTCCCCTCTTTCCTTCTCTTCCCCTCTTTCCTTCTCTTCCCCTCTTTCCTTCTCTTCCCCTCTTTCCTTCTCTTCTCTTCTCTTCTCCCTTATTCTCCTCCGTTTCTCCCCCCCCCCTTAGCAACATAGTAACCGTCCTACCAACAGGGCAACATAGCAGCAGAGGCGGGCGACCTTCCTCACTCTTAATGCACCTGCCACCACCACCGCACTGCACCCCCGTCTCTTCCCCTATCTGCCCCCTGTCAACAGCAGACTCCCCCTCCCCGGCGATAGCGGAGCAGTGTGTGTGGGCGGTGGGCAACATCGCAGCAGAGGCGGACGACCTTCGCTCGCAGCTCTTGGATCAGGGCGCCCTGCCCGCCCTCACGCGCCTGCTGCTCTCCGCTGCGCATGCCCTCACGTCGTCTACTGCTACCACTGGTCTCGCTGCTGCTGGGGCATCTCGTTGGTTGGCTGCCCAGCCGCCAGCAGCCATGGCGTCGCTGGCTAAGACAGTGGCGTGGGCGCTCTCCTCCCTCATCAAGGTGGGGCTGGGACATGGTGTGAGCGGATCAAGGGGATCAAGGGGATCAAGGGGATCAAGGGGATCAAGGGGATCAAGGGGATCAAGGGGATCAAGGGGATCAAGGGGATCAAGGGGATCAAGGGGATCAAGGACGTTTCTGTCGAATGGGATCGCTCTCGGCCTTCGGATCAAGGCATCCCTCTGGCCCTCCCCGCCCTCCCGGCCCTACCCGACAGTAACCGACCTCCCCGCCCTCCCCGCCCTCCCCGCCCTCCCGGCCGTCCCACGCCTGATGTTCGCTGCCTTGCTGCTGCTGCCTCTTTACCATCCCACCATCCCTCGCTTCCCTCCCTTCTCGTTTTTACACCTCGAATGTCTCTCTTTCTTCCCATATTCCCTGTACGTGTCTCCAGGGCCCTAGCCCTCGAGCAGCCGTTGATCTGGTGAAATCCAACGGTGTGGATGCAGCGATCGTGGGCCTTCTCTCGTCAGGGTAAGGGCAGGAGTGTGGGGCGGTTGGGGTCGGGAGAGAGGGAGGGGAGGAGGGATGGGAGGGAGGGAAGGAGGGGAGCGAGGGAGAGTGGTGAGCAAGGGAGAACTGAAGGTATGATGTGCATGATAATGCCTATGTTGTGGCTATGGTGTGGTTTGGCATGTGATGGCAGAGCATGTTATTCTATAGCATGGCACTGTGGAGTGTGGCCCATCCTGGCGTTGCTTGGGTGTGTGGTAGGATGGGCTGCGCTGTCCTAATCTGAGCCAATTTGTGTAGCGGCACCCTTGATTTGCGAACTCACTCTGTGTTGTGAGAGTGGTTTCACTGCGGTGTGGTCACTTCTCTCCCTGCCCAGTGGAGCTCAACGTGTGCTCGCTGTGGAAGCAGCAGTGGAGGCGGGGTGGGTGGCAGCATGTGTGCAGCACTGTAGGACGCCAGCACTCGCTACCTCTCGACCCCTGCATCCTCCTCTCCCCTCTTCTTCCCCACTCTCTCCTCCCCCACCTTCCCCCCCTCCCCTATCTCCCTCACAACATTACAGAAGCAGCACTGGAGGCGGCGTGGGTGGCAGGATAGGTGACAAACACTATTAGACGCCATCACTCTCTACCTCTTCCAACCCCACTCCACACTACTCCTCCCAAACCCCACCCCTCCCCCTCACAGTAACGTGGAGGCAGCAGTGGAAGCAGCGTGGGTGGCAGCATATGTGACAGCGCTGTCAGACGCCAGCACTCTCTCCCCCACCCCACCTACTCCTCCCCTACCCCGCCCCACCGCACCCCACCTCACAGCAACGCCGAGGCAGCGGTGGAGGCGGCATGGGTGGCAGCGTATGTGACAGCGCTGTCAGACGGCAGCGCGGACAGGCTTGTGGCTGCGGGGCTGGTGGAGGCGCTCGTGCCGCTGCTCTCCGCCTCCACTGACGTCGCTCTGCTCACTCCTGTATGCTCCATCGCCCATGCTTTCTACCTTGTGTCGAGCCATGCCTTCTCCTCTTTGGGGTGCTCGGGGCCCTCGTGTGCCTCTGCTCTCCGCCTCCTCTGGTGTCGCTCTGCTCATGCCTGTGAGCTACCATGTGCCTTGTGCCACGCCATTCCTTGTCATGAAAATTCCACGGCTGGAATGATGGAGGCTCTTGTGCCTCTGCTCTCGTGCCTTTGCTCTTGTGCCTCTGCTCTCGTGCCTCTGCTCTCGGCCTCCCTCGGTGTTGCGCTGCTCGCTCCTCACTCCTCACATCGCGCATCTCACTCCTGTATGAGCGATTGCCCGGACGTGCTACCGGGTGTCATCTCTTGCCTTTTCCTCTGTTGGATACCCTTGTGCCTCTGCTCTTCTCCGCCTGCACTGACGCCGCTCTGCTCGCTCCTGTACGACTAAGTGGGAAAATTCGCGTTTCGCGTAAATTCGCTGACGAATTTACGCTGGCGTAAATTCGCCCGAATGCCAGGGCCCTGTTTTGAATTCGTTGGGAAATTCGTCCCGCCCGGGCAGTTAAAAAATGCCCGGGCAGGCCCAAAAAAAAGTTCCCAGGCAGGGGGGGCGTGGGGGGTTTCAGGGCATCTCTTTTTAAGCAAGAAAGTTTTAGCACAAAATAAATATTGCTTCTCAAAGTTTATGGCCATAGCATGTTCTAGAGTTTGGGGGGGATCCTTCGCAACAACAGCCCTGCAGCAACATACAGCAACATCATACTCGTGAGGTAAGCTAATGTCTATGCGGTAAGCTACTATATCTACTAGCTAGGACGCGGAGTGATTAGCTAGATCTACTCTACGTCTGGTAGAGTAGCGTGTGAGATGCGTGATATGGTTGCGTAAGTTGTGTTGGGTGCTGGATGGGTTGGGTTATCTAGATGCGGTGGGATTTGATGCGGTTGGGAGAGTGGGAGGGGTTGGGAGCATGTTTGGAGGTTCAAAAGTTAGAATCGCGAATTGGCGAGGCCACGGATGGCTTCGCCAAGTCGTCGCAAATCGAGTGGGGAAATTCGCATTTTTTTGTCCGGGCTGCCCGGAAAATTTCCCCCCAGCGTAACGCGAATTTCAGGTAAATTCGCAAACGCGAATTTGCACTTACGAATTTACGCAAAACGCTGGGGGACCCCAACGAATTTGCCCACTTAGCTGTACAATGCCCTGTGCCACGTCATGCCCTGTGCCACGTCATGCCCTGTGCCACGTCATGCCCTGTGCCACGTCATGCCCTGTGCCACGCCATGCCCTGTCGTTGAAACTTGAAACTCCTACACTGGGCTGGTGGGGGCTCTCGTGCCTCTGCTCTCCGCGTCCTCTGAAGTCGCTCTGTATGCGCGATTGCCTGTGTTCGCTACCTGGTGTCGTGTCGTGTCGTGTCGTCCCGTGCCACACTTGTCTGATTAAGGGACCAGTGTGTGCGTCTACTCACTGTCTCTCTGATTTCGCTCGGCTCATGCCTGTGTGCCCCACTGCCCGTATACAGCAGTGCCTTGTGTCAATGCGCAAGGCCTTGTGCCTTGTGTCAATGCCATGTCTTCTCCTTGTTGGGATGGCAGAGGGCTCTCGTGCCTCTGCTTTCTGTCTCCATTGACTTCGTGTGCTCACTCCTGTGTGTCGCCTCGCGTACTGGCATCTCCTTTACATATGCCATCTCCGTTCGGTTCGGTGTGTCCGCTACTCAAGACATGCCTATGCCGTGTCGCCTTAACCCATGCCCACGTTTGCCCCACTCTTACCTTAGGTGGTGCGGGCTATAGGCAACCTGACAGCAGGTGATTCCAATCGAACTACTCGATTGCTGACAGCTGGCACACGGTTCCAAGGTACGCCATGTCATCCCAGGCCTGGTGCGCCCATGTACTGCCTCTTAGTCGTTCCACCCTTAAGGTGTTTTGAGGGATTTCTTCACTTCCGCCCCTTCAATTTGCTGATCGCTGGCCTCAGACAAAGAGAAATATGGGTCCATTGGTCTGGCCTCAGACAAAGAGGTTCTGGCCGCCTGAACAAGTATTTTCCTCAAGAAGCACATGTTGTAGATGAGCTCGCCAGGACCTTCTACCTCGTCCAAGGCTGGTGATTGGCAAGGCTGGTGTTCAGCCTTGAGCATCTCGGCCGCCTGGTACATGTCCTCCTGCGCTTCTCCACTTCACCTTGTGGCAACAAAGAGCAACAACAGCCTGCGAGCCAGGACTACTCAGTTTGTTGCTTACCTCCCACCACCCTTCTCCCTTTCTCCAACAGCCCACACATCCCGCCCTCTCGCTTCCTTGCCTGGCCATGGGGCGTGACATCTGTGGGTCAAGTCTGTCGGCCCTTGCCTGCCCTCATCTCTCTTCCTTCCTGATTCTCTTCTCTCCTTTCCCTTCTTCCGTCGCCCTCATTGAACCAGGTCAACCCATCCCCGCATCGCCCCCACCTGAGCTGGTGGCAGCAGCAGCAGCAGGTCCGGGCCTATGTGGCCTGGCAGACTGCCTTGAGAATGCGCACCATGGGCTCAAGAAGGTGCGAGAGAGGGGTGCGTTGGTGTTGTAGGTGTGAGGGTTGATGAAGAGGGTGGAATGGAATGGGTGAAAGAAGGTGAGAGGGCCTGTGGTGGCGGATTGCCTTGAGAACGCGCACCATGGGCTCAGAAGGTGTGGGGAAGGGGTGCTTTGGTGTGCAAGTGAAGTAGGTGGGGGAGCGACACTGACAGCAGGTGAGAAACGAGGGCGTGTGGCAGCAGCAACCGCTGTTGTGCCGGGCCTATCCGGACTGGTGGATTGCCTTGAGAACGAGCGCGCACCATGGGCTCAAGAAGGTGCGTAGGGCAGACTCCAGCCAGTTTGTCCACTTGGAGGTGCATCGATATTGCTGGTCGTTTCCGGGGGAGGGGTAGATTAAGGACAGTGTCATCTGCTCTCATCCTTGTGCGTGCAGAAGCCAGTCTGGGCGGCGTGGCAGCTGGCGACAGCTGGCTGGCACCAGAAGGCGGCTGCGAACATATGGGCCCATGCCTGGCCACTCCTGACCCCATTCGCCCTGCTCTCCCTCCTCTCCGCGTACTCTCCCTCCTTTCCCCTCCATCCCCCCCCTGCCCCCTCCTTCCCGCCCCTTCCCCCCCTTCCCCCTCCTTCCCCCCCCTTCCCCCTCCTTCACCCCCTCCCTCCTCTCCCTTCACCTTCCAGGAGACGGCGTGGGCGGTGTCCAACGTGACAGCTGGAGACAGCTGGCACAAGGCGGCTGTGATTGGTGGGGACGTGGCGGGAGGCCAGGTGTCGAGGGTGTATCAGCTGCTGGTGCATTTGCTCTGCACGGCCGCCTTTGACATCAAGAGAGAAGTGGCCTTTGCTCTCGGTGAGCTCTCCTTCCATTCCAGCACGTAGCCTGCTTGCCCTCCTCCCCCGGTGGGGCGGGGGGCGCCAACTCGTGTGAGGGTGTACGAGCTGCTGCTGCGATTGCTCTGCACAGGCGCCTTTGACATCAAGAGAGAAGTGGCCTTTGCCCTCGGTCAGTTGTGCAAGCAAGGAACACAGCACCTACCCACCCCCCCCCCCCCTCCCCTTCTCCATCCTTTCCTGTGCCCTGTCTTTCCACATTGCACACTTGTTGGATTGTTTTGGGGCGCCCCAAAGTTTTCCCTGTCTCTCCACAGTGCAATGTGTGCACACTTGTTGGATTGCGCTTCGCCATAGTGCTTGCAACAACAGCCTTCCTCCTGCCTATGTCTGCCGTCCCCCTTCCTCAACTCGTTCCTCCCCCTCTCTCCCTCTCCCCCCCTCTCTCCCTCTCTCTCCCTCTCCCCCCCTCTCTCTCCCTCTCTCTCCCTCTCCCCCCCTCTCTCTCCCTCTCTCTCCCTCTTCTCCCTCACCCCGTTGTTCGCCCAGTGTTTTACACTTCACTCCACATCTTGACTTCAACCCATCCAAACCCAAAGCCCCCTTCTTGAAGGTATAGGTGAACCCTAAACCCTTTGCTCACCCCATTGCCAACCCCATTGCTCACCCCGTTGCCAACCTTGTTGCTTGCCGCTATTGGGTGTTCAACCCATCCCAAACGATTGCCCCTGGCAGCGAATCTATGTGTGGATCCTGCTGAGCAAGAACCAATGGGTGAGCGCCACGTGGCGGTCCAGCAGTCGCGCGTGGCAGCACTAGTGGACGCAGGATGCCTGCCACCCTTCCTCTCCCTCATTCGCTCTGCTGATTCTGATGCTGTGCGGCTGGGGCTGCAGTTTGCTGAGGTGGTGAGGAGTGGGTATGGGAAGGAATGAGGATGTGGGAAGGTAGAATGAGGGAGTGGGAAGATACGAGGGTGTGGGAAGGTATGAGGGTGTGGGAAGGAAGGTAAGAGGGTGTGGGAAGGTATGAGGGTGTGGGAAGGTATCGGGGAAGGTATGAGGTGGTGAGGTGTATTAACTGCTGCAGCAGCTGCGGCTGATGCTGATGTTGATGAGGTGTGTGACACTCACGTGCACATGCACTCATGCATTTACAAACTGCTATTTTCCCTTAGATCGCTACATTCTTCCACTTGTGCTCTGGTCTGGTGCTGTTATGTGCAGGTTCTGCGTGTGCTGCCTGGAAAGAAGGGCCCTCAGCTGGTTGAGGAGGCGGATGGCATTGATGCGATAGAAGCAGCAGAATTTGTGGGCAATGAGGAGCTACACCGCATGTCAAGCTATCTTGTAGATACATACTTCGGTGAAGATTACGGGCTTGAAGAGGGATGATCATGTCGTGGGTGTTGCATTTGCCAGATGTTATCAACCTTTCGTAACCATATGAAAAGCCAGCTTGTGGTTAAAAGGTGCAAAATCTGGTGGCTGTAAAGCTCTACATCTTAACGCTTGTTTGGAGTAACCTTGTACAAATATCCTGAAAATGAATCCCCCTTAACACAACCTTCCATTTGTAAGATAATATATATTGAAGATCAAAGTTACAATGAACGATCTTCGCCAGCAGCAACAAAGCGAAATTTAGCACCACGAAACAGCGACACACATGATCCACGCTCACCTTCATCTCACGCGAAAGGCGTGCGCCTTCGCGAACCAATCCTCTTCGTCTCTTCGCAAGCCTCTTGACTTGACATCTCCGGTTATCGCGGACGGCGTTCATGGTGGGAGCCATTCGTGCTAGACGGCTGGTTTGGCACGGCCAGAAGTGCACAGCCAGGGAGGGTTACCACACAATGTCAACCAATCAAGACCCCGGAATACAACATGTTCCTGGAGTTCCTGTTTCAGCACCACCTTGCGACGTGTCGCGATGGGCTTCCGCAACCTTCGCGGGCGAGCATGGAGACTTGGTTCGGGTAACCCTGGGAATTCCCGACGTGCGCATGCGCTTCCTTGTGTGCGGGCCTGCAAGGAGAAGGCTCCACCTGCCGATTCTGCTGGGTATGGGAAACGCGGCGCTTGCTGGTTCGGCAGCGTTGCTTGGCGTTCAAGAGCACCACCTGTTGTGTCCGCACCTCGCAGCAAGCCAATCGAATTGCTTATCGGAGCGCCTACTTGTTCGGGGCACAAGCTGGTTCGGCTATTGCTCTTGCATCCGATCCTTGGCCCTTATTCTACCGAGTGCCACGCGGACGAGGTGTAAAGCGCAAGCTGATGATGAGCCATCAAATAGCCTTAGTTGTCCTCTGAGAGAGACACTTTAGTCTCTTTGAAAGTAGAGGTGCCGTCGTTTGAGAGACGCTTTGGTCTCTCTAGAAATAGAGCAGCCGTCGTCCCTAGCCCATCTGGTCTAGAATGGCTCAGTCGATAGATGATTTTTCCCTTCCCCGAGGCATCGCGAAGCTCGCGAAGACGAAGTCGTACGATAGATGGCTTCTCGACCCGCAGAAGCCTGCGAAGGCGCAACAGCAGCAGTCGCCCAATCGCATGGGCCAGTGGGCGGCAATCGCCGTCGCTTCCGTCCTCTTCTCGCTCCTCCTCCTCAATCCGACGGTCATGGACGACACTCTCAGCTTCATGATGAAGCCAATCAATCCCAGCCACGTGGAAGTTTTTACCCGTGGGCTTGCGGCGCTCCAATGGTGGGAGGACCAGTACCCTCCGCCATCGCCGCCGGAAGACGCGGAGCTCAAGGAACAACAATCGACTCGCGTTCAATGGAAGACGTTTAGAATAACGCGCGTCGCGGCGTTTAACGTCGACCGACGGATAGTCAAGCAGACTAAGCAGGCGGGGTTCCAACTGGTACCGCTTGCCGCGCCGCCGCCTCTTAACGGCCTAAGCTGGGATGATATCTACGCAGACAGGTTCGACGACGACCCGAGCCCGCAGTGTCCGAAGCTGCCGTCGCCGGAATGGTCGCAGGATCGTCGCACGGTGGACGCGATGATCGCACACATGCCGTGCCAGCCGGTGAACGGGTCGTTCGCGAGAGACCTGCGATGGCACCAGCTGCTGCTCGTCGTCGCCGACTACATCGCACAGGTGAGCTCGCGCGTTTCGTTCAGTTAGACGATAGCCAAACCGCCGCTTTCGCCTTGAGTGCACTGTATAAGTAACGACGCAGGCGCAAATTCCAGAGAGCTCCGATCTTGTTCTGTCGTTTCCTTTGGGCCCCTCCAGTCCACTTCCCGTCATTGTTCTTTCCGACCGGAATCGCATCTTTTCGCGCCTTCACCCGCTCGTTTCCTCTCCCCGTTCTTCCCCCGTCCCCCCGCTCCCTTTCTCCTCCCCTCCCCCCCCACTCAGTCCGCGCGTCCCTGGATGCCCGTGATCGTTCTCTCCGACTGCCGCCCGCCGCCCAACCTCTTCCACTGCAACCGGCTGGTTCACCGCGACGGGCCCGTCTGGCTGTTTAACTTGACGGCCGCCGACATGCGCCGCCGGCTGCAGCCCATCGGGAACTGCGCGCTCGCCACTCCCGAGCCCCAGCCGCTGCCAGGTCAGCAGGCCGTCCCCGCCGCTGCGCGCCGAGTGGCGTACGCTACGGTGCTACACAGCAAGGAGGACTACGTGTGCGGGGCGATCGCACTGGCGCACAGCCTGCGGCGGAGCGGAACGCGCGCGGAGCTGGTGGCGCTGGTGTCGGAGGAGATCGGCAACTTCAGCCGCGCAGGGCTCGCGGCGGCGGGATGGCGGCTGATCGAAATTGAAAGGATCCGGAACCCGTATGGCCGCGCCGGGACCTACAACCAGTGGAACTACAGGTGCGCTTGACACTAGTTACTAGCTTTCGTCTGAATGGCGGCTGATCGGAAATCGAGGGGATCCACATCCATATGGGCGAGCGGGGACCTACAGCAGTGGAACTACCGGTACAGCTTGGCCTAGCAAAAGTTTGAACGAGGGACGATAGAGATTGAGAGGATCAGGAATCCGTGGGGCGGGCGGCGACCTACAACCAGTGGAACTAGATGCGTGGCTTATCGGCTTGTTGGATTATCGAGACCTGAACTACAGCGAGAGCGCAGCGCCATTGCTCCTGAATTTCAGCGCTCTTACCTTGTACAGATGACCAGCGCAACGATTGCTTACCCGCGCGACTCATCCCCTTTTTCCTCTCTGCTCTCTTTGCTGTCCGTCGGCATCCCGTTACAGTAAGCTCCGTTTGTGGCAGCTGACAGAGTACAGTAAGGCGGTGTTCGTCGACGCGGATATCCTCGTTTTAAGAAACATGGACTACCTGTTCGAGTACCCGGAGCTATCGGCGCGCAGCAACAGCCGGCGCTTCTTCAACTCGGGCGTCATGGTGATCGAGCCATCGCAGTGTACATTCGAGCTTATGATGGAGAACATTGACTCCATCCAATCTTATAACGGTGGCGATCAGGTCAGTGCCGAAGCTCTCAATAGCGTGAACATACATTGGCTCACACTCAGGAACCCTGCCAACGGGCATAGATCCCCAATCGACCTTGTTCTCCTGGTGCCAGCCACTACTCTTGTCCTTGTCCCCTGTCCTGGTCCATCAACTCATCTTAACACTTGCAGAGGCAAAAGGCCAACGGTCATTTGCAGCCCATCATCCTCATGTTCTCTGCTGCCTACTTTCCCCTTCCCTGAATCTTATTCTCTGCATGAGGGCACGTGCTTTACTGGTTGCATCGCATGCCTAAGCCCATCAGCACGATCAAATAATACACCAACGAGGATGCACACAGTGCGTGAGGCCCTCCCGCACCCCACCCTCACCCAGCCTTGTCTCTCTTTTGCCCGTCCTCTCCCCCTACGACAGGGTTTCGTGAACGACGTGTTCTATTGGTGGCATCGGTTGCCCAAGTCCATCAACACGCTGAAATACATCAACGCGGACGACGGGCCCAAGAGGGACTTCGAAATCGAAACCCTAGACGCGCTCATTTCGTCGGACCCGCCCACCATCCACGCACTGCATTTCCTGGGGAAGAAACCCTGGCGCTGTTACCGCGACTTCGACTGTAACATTGTCATGAACACGCACCGGAGGTTCGTGCATCACAACGCGCATAAGCTGTGGTTTGCGCTGCACGATTCGATGCCGGAGGAGCTACAGGAGCACTGCCTTCCGAAGAATAACGACAAGGCTGGTATCGAGTACAGAATGGAGCTGCTTAGGGAAGAGAATGCCCCGGCCGAGCTGTGGAATTTCACCCTCACGGACCCGAGGAGAGAGATGTGCGCACCGCAGCAGACTCACTGCAAATGGCGGAATAACCTGAAGGGGTTCAGGAAGAATAAGAAGAGGGATATGGCGAAGGACAGGGAGAGGGAGGAGAAGCTAAGGGAGGAGAAGAGGAGACGGGAAGCAGAGGGACTTGAATGAGAGTTAAGGCAAACATCGTAGTCATTCTAACTCTCTGGAGGGAGAGTAGGGGGACAGATTACAATAAAAACTGGGCACGAAGCTGACCCTCAGAATTTCGGTCACACTCTAGGATGGCCTTGTTCATCTCTAATTGCTGTTGTTGAGCTCGGTTCTTGTATAGTTACCCTTCAACTCTCCCTCGACTGTTGCTGACACGGGTGGGCTGATCCCCTTGCTGACATGCCCGCTGTAGACTTTGGCAGCAAATTATCAAAGTGAAGGGGATTGGTGGAGTTCCAAATAAAGCGAACTGCTGGGGTTGGTGCTAATCTTTTCTGTCGAGTTGAATGAATGAATGCTGTGTATTGTATGGTTGTGTCATTTTTGGTGTCTTTGTGCGCCAACTGTATTCTCGGCCCGGCGCCACAACTCTTACACGCATCATGCATCCCTTCATCTGCTATTCCTAATCGGCTATTCCTAATCAAGCCTCCGGTTTAGATGGATCAGCCGGTGTAGCTTCTGAGCTCATAACATATTCCAGCGCACTGTGTAGGGAGGCATTGGATTATTGTGCAATCCTGATGTGTGACAACGCACGTTTTTACCAAGATACCTCTGTTGGCAAATGGGAACGAAAACCAAGGAGCCCCTCCCAGCTACACACACGTGTCACTACAGAATGACACGTGTTCTGAGGCCTTTTTTGAAGACAAATGAGAGGGCGGGAAGTCCGTGCGCTGGCATTCCATGGATGTCGGCCACTTCGCCAATGGGGCTCCGCGGCTCGAGGAATCAGCGCAGGCAATCATGGAGAATGCCGCTGCGAACGAAATTCTCGATCTCATCGTTTCTTCGCAAAAGCTCTCACGAGCCTCGTCGCCAATCTCCTCCCACGCAGCATATAATCTTCACCCAGTTTCCTTCCCATTTTTCAACCTATCGCCCTTCACTCCAGCACACACAGATCCGACGTCCATCCGTGTTTCTGGTAGTCATCAGCTTAGCAGCCTTCCAACAAATCTTTGTTCCCTCACAATCTGCCAACTACAACGATGGCTACTACTACCATGGCTGCTGCTAAGCTCGCCGCTGGCGCTATTGTTGCCGCCTCCAGCCCAGCTCAGAGGACGACCCTCACGTCCTCCTTTGCAGGTGCTTGATGACCTCCTCCAACTGCTATGCATGCTGAATGGTCTGGCTGCCTGCAGTCTTTGTTAACATGGCTCCTTCGTGGCCATTCTGGCTCCTCCACGGCGCTTTGGTTTTCCTACGTGGCCTTTATCATCAGAGAAGCTGACGATGTTTTTCATCATTCGTTCTCTCGCCTGTCCGTTCTCAGGTGTGCGCAAGCAGTCCGCCACGGCTGCATTTGGCGTCAGATCCGCGGCTCGCACGGTCGCCTTCTTCAAGCTCGGCGGCGAGAGCGCCAAGAGCGCCGGCATCTTCGCCAGCCAACTGCGCGACGACTACGACGCTGACGACGTCGCCCACGTAAGTGCCTTTCTGAAGTGAAGCCAGATATGCTCATCGTCACGACACCCAGCTCGCTCGTTGCGCGTCACCCAGCCTTCTCGGTATCGTCGCTCCATAACCTTATCCCTCGTCACATTCTGTGGTGATCAGCATTACTGCGTGAACCCCAAAGCGTGGCCACGCACCACAAACATTACTGCCTGAAGAACGGCACGCGATTACCGTTTGAACTCAAACTTACTCGCGACTTTCTTTCCCGTACGGATCGAAACTCTCCCTCAGCAGTACTTCAACTATTCGGGCATGCTCGCGGCGGAGGGCACGTACGAGAAGATGGAGAAGATGCTGGAGACCGGCACGCACGCGTGCGACATTCTGCTCATGATGGCCGCGTCGGAGGGCGACGTGCGGAAGATCGAGGAGCTCGTGTACGCCGGCGCGCGCTGCGACGTGCCCGACTGGGAGGGACGGACGGCCCTGGACCGCGCGTGCAGCGAGGAGATCCGGGAGATGATCCAAAAGGGCGCTGTCACTGAGGCGCTATAGGCTGCTCGCCTGGGTTTAGGATGGTGGCCTGAGCTGGCAGCTGGGTACGCTTTCCCCCTGATGTAAAGTTAACCAAAATACTTAGTTTGCTGAGTTCTGAAATAATGAAATAAGAAATTGTCACGTCTGGACCACTCCAATCCAATTATCGTGGTTCACGTGGCCAACAGCTTGCAATCACGATATGGTGCAGGGCAATGGGGCCTGAAACTCTATGCAGGTACTAAAAATCTAGTTGTCCCTGCTGAGAAAAGGTGCTGCTAGTTGTCATTCTAGTCACTGTGAGGTAATGTACTTTCATGGGTTGACTTATTGTGAAAGCTTGCTTAGCAGGCCCAAAATTGGTTTTGGACTGCCCTTTGAAAACAGAGTCGCCCCACCAAAACACCCTGGCCCACAGGGTACCTAACTAAGGTAGTCTGATTTTTCAGGGTAAAAAATTTGCAGCCCTGTTTACACACGGTATATTTAAACCACCCTGTACTTTATTTCCCTCTGCAATGCTCCTTAAAGCCACATGCTAAAACAGCGTGGGGGGGGGGGGGGGGGGGCTTCAAGAGCGCCGCTCTTGAAGGTGGGCACACTAGAAAACAAGGCTCGATGTAAATCGCCGGGTGGATTGCGTGCATTCATAGAAAATGCGTTACCCACATTTTTTTCCCCACCCTTTTTTTTGGGGGGGATTGTCAACTTATACATACATTTGCATGTAGAAGTTATAGGCTAGAATAGGTGTGTTCTTAGAGAGTACAAACCAAACCCTATATCTCCCTTTTCCCTCTTCCTTCTAATCATTGCGTTATTCTAACTCTATCGCTCAGTCGAGCGGCACTGTAGCGATCCCTATCTTCCAGGGCTGTGCTCCCTCCCAGTGCACTTACTCTGACGCCTTTGCCGCTGTTGTTGAGACGGCCCCTGCTGCTGAGACCGCTATGGCGGCCTCAGCGCAATCGTGTCAAAGTAGGGGGCGCCGAGTCCTGGGGGGGCGTGGCAGCGGGAGGGGTGGCGGGGGTGGCGAGGGTGGCGGAGATGGCGGAGGTGGTGGAGGGGACGGTGGTGCTGACGAGGGGACCGGTGCTGGTGCCCCGGAGCAGCAGCCTCATCAGCAGCAGCAGCAGCGCAGTAGCAGCAACCTCAGCAGCAGCAGCAGCAGCAGCAGTCGCCGTGGGCGCCCCCGCCGCCGTGGTGGCCTAGCGGTTCTTGTCGTGGTGGGGGGCGCAACTCGGTGTCAGGTGGCGGCTCCAGTGTGGTCACCTGCCAGAACCAGCTTCAGTCCGACCCCCGCCACGGAACCGTCTGTGACCGCCCCAGTCACACCTCCGCACGCTGCTACTGCCTCCTCGACGACCTCTTCCGTCTCCGCTTCGGCCCCACGGCGGACCCCCCCGACTGGTACAGCCTGGTGCATCGTCGTTTGCCCGTCCTTGAGATGGACATGGATCAGATTAGGTCTGCTTTGTGTGCCATGTATGCTGATGACTCTCGTGTGACTGGACCCTATTACCCGGTGTTTCCTAGCGTAGGTGTGTCCGCTGTGTGTAGTCTAGGTTCCCCTGCTGCATCAGGCGTAGGACCCCCTGCCTTGTTTAGCCTAGGCTCCACGCTAGCCCCTCCGTCGGCGGACGCTACTGCTTTGCTCTCCTTCACGCTCGACTCTGGAGCGTCTACCTGCTTCTTCCGCGACCACACTTCGCTCATGCCTCTTACCGCCCCTGCCGCTGTCGCGCTTGCTGACCCCTCCTCAGGTCCCGTAGCTCCACCACCCTTCCCTGTCCGGCGGTCCCCACGGGTTCTCTTACAGGCCTGCACATCCCCTCGTTCTCTAGGAACCTAGTTGGTGTCGGGTGTCTTCAGGACCTCGGCGTCACCACTACGTTCCCTGGTCACGAGCGGTACGCGGTCTGTACCGAGGCCGCCACTGGTGCTCCTCTGACCATGTTCTCCCGGGACCCTGTGTTTGGCCTGTATACTCTTGACACTGCGTCCCCCCTGGTGAAACCGCCCCCCCAGGTACCTGCGTCGACCCAGGTCGCTGCGGCTTTCTCGTGTAGGTCGCTCACTCATCTGTCGCTGCTGTGGCACCACCGCCTAGGTCACCCCGCACTCCCGCGTCTGCGTCACATGTCCCTTGACGGTCTTGTCTTTGATCTCCCTGCGTCGCTCCCTGCCCTTCACTCCTCGCCTGCGCCGTCGTGCACGCCTTGTGTCGAGGGCCGGCTACGCCATGCTCCTCACTCCTCCTCGCTTCCCCCTACCACTGCACCACTCCAGACCCTGCACGTGGACGTCTGGGGGCCAGCCCCCGTTCTTGGGCCGTGTTGCGAGCGCTACTTTCTAGTGCTTGTCGACGACTACACGCGCTACACAATGGTGTTTCCCTAGGAGCGGAAGGCCGATGTGCCTGGCGTTCTTATCCCATGGGTCGTAGCTGCGCGGATCTACCGCTACCTCCCTTTGCTGCGTCTCCACTCCGACCGTGGCGGCGAGTTCGCCTCCGGTCGGCTTGGCCAATTGTGTCGTGCGAAGGGCATCACCCAATCTTACACCTTGCCGGACTCCCCGCAGCAGAATGGGGTCGCTGAACGAAGCATCGGTTTGGACATGGAGGTGGCTCGTACCTCCATGATCCATGCCGGTGCACCCCATTTTCGGTGGTCGTTCGCTGTTCGCTACGCCGCTCACCTTCTTAACCTCTGGCCGCACTCCCTGCGGCCGCAGGTTTCGCCGACCCTTCTCTAGATCGGGTTTCCTGGTGACGCGTCTGCGTTTTGCGTCCGGGGCTGCCTTGCTCACGTTTGTGCCTCTGGCACAGACAAGTTCACTGCCCGCACTGTCCCGTGTGCCTTCCTTGGCTTCCCCCTCGACGCGTCTGACTGGCATTTTACCACCCGCCATCTCACCACTTCTTTCACTCGCGTGACATCACTTTGACGAGTTTGTCTCCTTCTACCACCGCTTTCCCCACCACGGTCTCCCGGTTTCCCCGCCCTTGTTTCTGGTTCCCACTCCCCCAGTAGCCCCTGCTCTTCTCCCTCCCCGTCGGTTGTCCCGGTCGAGGAATCGGCTGACTCTGATGGCCCCACGGCATCGTTCTCGCTGCCTATCTCCGCCCCGGTGTCTCCTCCTCTACCGTTGCCGCAGCAGCAGCTGTCGCAGCCGTCGCCGCAGCAGCAGCCGCAGTCGCCGCCGCAGGGGTCCGCCAGCTCTGGGGGTGCGGGTGTTGAGCACGGTGCTAGTCGTGGGGTTACTGTCGTGGCCTAACCAGGCGGTCTCGGGGGTGGCACCAGTGCTCGGGAGGGTCCTCGTTCTGGGGGTGCTGGTCCTGGGGGTGGTAGTTCTGGGGTTGGCATCGGTGCTGGAGGGGGTTCTCGTCCCGAGGGTGTTGGTGTGGAGCGTCCTAGAGGGTGCCGTTGTGCAACTGGAGGTTCTAGTGCTGGGAGGACACAGACCAGTGGTCCTTACTGGGCACACAGACGCTTCTTGGGCAGACGACGCTGAGACCCTCAGGTCCTCCCAGGGCTACTGCTTTAGCCTTGGCTCGGGTGCCATCTCATGGAGGTCCACTCGCTCCTCGTCTGTTGCCCCGTCTAGCTGTGAGGCTGAGATGTACGCCGGTTCCATGGCGGCATAGGAGCTCCGCAGGTTGACGTTCTTGCTCACCGACTTAGGTGAGCGGCCTAGTTCTGCCCTAGTCTTGTATGCTGACAAGAGGGCCATGATCCTCCTATGTCAGGAGCCTCGACTTGAGGGCAGAGCGAAGCACATCTTGCTGCGGTACTTCCTCCTGCACGAGCTACAGCAGCGCCGCCAGGCCCGCGTAGTAGACTTGGAAGCAAGTACTATTAAAAAAAAATGTTACGAGAATGCTAAGTTGTGGAAGGGGAATGAGATTGAACTGAACGGTAACAGGAGTCAAAGAAAGGTAGGAAAGAGAAGACAAACGCAAACAAATGGGCAAGAAAGAGAGGAGGGGCGTGCACCTAGCTGTAGCGAATCTCATGTTTCTCCATACCCTTCGTCCTCCGTCCCCCAACGTCTTCCTCTCCCTTTCGCCTCCCATCATAGCAACCACGCCACGCACACCACGCTCGCGCAGCACCACTATCGCACATGGCCCCAACGACACAGCTACGCGCAAGGTGTCAGCACGCATGGCGCCAGCGTGCAACGCGACAGCATGCGAAATGCGCAAGCGCACCGGCGGGCACCAGCGCGAAACGTGCTAGTGCGCAGAGCACCAGAGCAAGACATGCCAGCGCACCGGTGGGCGCCAGCACGGAATGCGCCAGCGCTTTGGGTGCCAGCGCCCAGCGCGAAACGCGCAAGTGCGCAGAGCGCCAGCGTGCAAAACGTGCCGGTGTGAAATGCGCCAGCACGCCGGGCGCTAGCGGGAAATGCGCCAGCACGTATGGCGCTAGCGCGCAGAGGGCGTCGGTGCAAAACACGCCAATGCAAAACGCACCAGCGCACAGCGCGAAATGCGCCAGCGCGCAGGGCGCCATCGCCACGAAATGCGCCAGCGCGAGACGTGCCAACGCCCGCGGCGCCAGCGCTCCTTCAGGAAAACGGGGTGGGCGCCAGTAACATGCGCCCAGGCGGCAATAAGCCTACCTTAGGAACAAGAACTACCGTAATCCCCTGTATATAACATCCGTTGAAATAGTCACTACATGGGTGGTGAATACCGTGGGGAGCTTATGAGACGATGCATTTGTTTGAGCACCCGTTTTGCTGACATTGAGTTTCACATAACACCCAACTCGTTTATTCGTTTTAAAACTGTATTTGTTCCTGTATTACAAGGTCCCCTCAGCTGCAAAAAGTGAGCAGGATGAAACAGCCCCCCAGGCTCTGCACCTGTGGCCCTTCCCGAAGATCTTCTCAAGGGTAACCTCAGCGGGTCATTCGACATCCCCCCCGCCCTGGGATAGGTGGAAGACACAAGCGCCTCTACAGCGCTAGCGCTGGGAATTGAACCCGAGTCACCAACTCTCTGATACCATGTCTAAGTCAAAAACAGGCACACCGTGGCGCAGCAAACAAGGCCAGTCAGGGAGGTTCGGGGCCGGGCCGAAGCGGCGACGGAAGAGGTCATCGAGGCGGCGGAAGCTACGGGTAGTTGGGTGCGGGC